TGCCACCCTTCCGTGCCCACCGCGCGCCCTTCCACCCGCCCGGCTGCCAGCACAAAAGCCTTGGTATAAAGGGTTTCAGAGCCAAAAGCGCTAGAGAAAATTGTGAAAGGGTGTGGAAAATACTAATTGGAGCCTTTGTCTTCTAACAAATCTGCCCTGCTGCTTCCAAACAGGGATATCTGAATTGCTGTACTTCTGACCAAGAGCCTTTTAAAAGCAGATTACAATTCTGCGGCTTTCTCCCCGCGCTGGCTCCTTTCTGCAGGGCCACTTGACAAGGCTCGCAGTGCGCCGACAGCCCGTGACGGTGTCCCATGCACTACCTGATTAGACCCCAGCCTCTCTTCTCCCCGTCACTGCATGGAGCAAGAGAGGAGGCTGGCAGCCAGGCCTCAGGAGGGGCCGGCTCGGTACCGGAACTATTTACCTACCCACGGCCATGAGGCGGAGAGACGTCCGCTCCCTAAGCAGGAAGGGGAGACGGCAGCCCGAGAGAAAGCCAGTTGTCTCTCCCGGAAACAGAACTTTCTGACGGGCTCAGCTCCCACCGTGGTCTTCATAACTCTGGTCTGGAACAGGTTTAAAGCTCTACTTCATTTCCTTTGAAAAGGAACTGTCGTGACTACGGTAAATGGGACGGTCGCCGGATGCAGAGGGGACAAAGAAAAGAGCTCATGAGGAAATGGGCCGGGGAGGCTGCTCTTCGAAGCCCGAGTGTGCTTAGTTTCAAGTTCTTGCAACTGCACAGAAATTCTGCCCTGTCCTAACTTAGCTAGCGTAATTGCAGGGGCAGTCGGACTTAGAGAAGTATCTTCTCGCAAGTGCCCTTGTTAGCGTTTATGTTTGGGACACAAGGGAGCCAACACTTAGCAACTCCAGAGCTCTGCGTCCTGGCCATCGTGTGCCCAAGACCTGAGGGAAGAGCAGGAAGCCCAGTCTGGTCTCCAGAACCACCCCACAGAGCACCCAGAAGTGTGCCTCACTGGTTCTCCAGGCGTCTCTCAGGCCTGTCGCGTTGACGAGGTCACACCGGCAGAGGCAGTCCAGGTAGTGGTATTCCGGGCATCCCAGACGGGATGAGAGCAGGGCTAAAGGCTGGGAAGTGCAGACCAGATGGCGGCCTCCAGGGGCCGTGAAGGAGGCCACGGGGCCTAAGGCAGCGGGAGAGGCAGAGAGGAAAGAACGTGCAGAGATCACGCCGGGCTCCGAGGCCCTAGGAAGAAGGGGTGGTTAGGAGAATAAATGACGGAGTTCACTGCAGATGGACGACCACTGTCCGTGAACAAGGCTCTCCCTGGGGGGTGGCAACCGCAGCAAGCAAACAGGTTTCCAAAAGCCCAAGATCTGCACCCGAAGCCCCTGTGGTGATTCTGGGAATCGTCCTGTTAGAGGCGACTCTGCCTCAGAGGTGCAGCTTTCACAGGCAGGAGACACGGCCTCTCACAGTTGTGTCTGTCACCGAAGTCCTGCTCCACAGGGGTGACCCGTCACACGTGTGAGATGCGCAGGTACACACGTGGGCGTACACGCACACCTGAGTCTCGTGGCCTTTTCAGATACTCCAGCAACTTCCCACTTAACGTCTCCCGGAAGCTTCCTCTTTCTCCTCTCTGATACCTGACATAGTTACTGATTGTAAATTATTTTAAAATGGAAACATCCCCTTGGTGAAGCAACAGTCATCGAGGCAGGCTGCGTGTGGGGAGCTAACGTCGTGGCCCTTGTTGTGCTCGCAGGGAAGCTCTTGAAGGCAGAGTGCATCCTGAGCAGCCTCATCAGCAACAACGGAGCGACAGGTCAGTGGCTGGGGTCCCATCCCTTGGCGGCCGGAGCCTGAGCCCGGTCTCCTGGCAACACAGTGCGGTAACAGTGCACAGCGGCCGGGCGGGCGCGGGTGACGGGTGAAGGGCCTGACTCCGGCATCTTACTCCTCTGCATTTCTGTTTTCTGCGGTTCCACAAGCAACACAAAAGCAAGGCATTTGGTACTTCCCTGCTAAGGACAGATCACGCAGTATTCCCTAGGGGATGGCAACCAAGGATGCCTCAGAAAGGGCTCAGAGCAGCCTTTAAAAGAAGTGGGATCAGTCAGATGGGTGACCTGTAATTGTAGCACTCAGGAGGCTGAGGCAGGAGGGTCGATGTAAGTTTGAGACCGGCCTGGGCTACATAGGGAGACCCTGTGTCAAGAGATCAAACCCACAAACAAATCGGGAATGGGATTAAAAACCTAGAAGCAGGAGGAGCGTGCCTACAGCTGTATGTATTTAAGTGGTCTGGAAGATTAATCTTCTATTGCTGTGTAAGAACTATAATGCAGAGTTATTTTGAAATGGATTTTCTTTCACTATTCAGTCATACAAGAAAAGTAGCGGGTCGGAGGAGGTGTGAAGCAGATCAGGAAGCCTTCAGATATTTTGTCGAGATTTCTGGGCATTTCAGTCAACAGGTTTTCCACAGCCAAGCGGTTTCCAGGGCACATGGAGCTCAGTACGCAGGGTGCAGGGCGTGGCCCTCGAGACTTGGGGGCGCTCCCCAAACACAGATTCCAGCCGTACACCCCTCGTCGGTGGTCACTGTCACTAGGCCTCAACCTGAGAGGCCATCGAAAGGACAGTGCAGGTTTCAGTTTTAAACATGGCTGCCGTGAAGGACACGTGGCCGCGAGTCCCCTCAGTGCTCCCCTTTCTGCAGTCACACTGGCCGCCACTTTGGGACCCAGCTCCGGGGCCCCCCTCCCCGAGAGTGGCTGTGACACGGGGCCGAAACACGGGGAGAGCTCTCCCCGACGCCTCTCAGGGAAGGGCCGCTCCGAACGGCATCAGTGTCCTCATCCACCTCCATCTCCTCACCGGATCTGGCACCTGCGACCCGGCTCCTCCCCAAATCAAAATGACCGTGAAGGGAAACGTTGCAGTCAATTCAGGACACGGAGGCAGCCAGGGACGCAGGGTTCGTGGCCATGTGTCTTTTACTGTAATAAAATTTTTGAAATTTTAAATACATGTGGTATTTTTTTCATCATGCCTCTATGCACACTTATCATGTTTTTTTGTTTGTTTTTGGTTTTTGAGACAGGGTCTCACTATGTAGTTGAAACTGACTTACAACTCACTATGTAGCCCAGGCTGCTCTCAAACTCACAGCGACCCTCCTGCCTCAGCCTCCCTAGGGCTGGGATCCCAGGCGTGCGCCACCACGCCCGGCACACTTGCCATCTTCTACACCCTATTCACACTGTACGCACGGTTTAAGAATTAGGAAGAAGACAGTGTTTGTCCTTCTCTGGCCTCTCCTGCCCTCCACTGGACAGGTCTGTCTCTCTGCCTAGCTTGCTCATCCATAAACCCATCCGACACACACGGTGATCCTGAGACCCAGAGCCTGGGCTCCCTGCCACCGGGTCAGGCCCACTCCCACCCCGCTCCCTGGAAGTCCTCGTGTGAGCCAACCCTCTCCTGCCCTCTTGGTTTGCGCCCAAGGTCACCAGTTGGGACGGGATCCTGCCATCTGTGGGGCAACCCCAGGAGGGCGATGCTGTGGGGATGTCCGCCCGGGGCTGGGAGGGCAGGAGGAGGCCTGGGCAGCACCGGAAGCAGGAGGCCACTGCCCTGGGAACTCAGGGGGCCTGGCTCACTGTATCCAGGCCCCTGAGCGCTGAAGGCTTCTGCGGACACAGGTTATCTTGCAGGCCGTTCCCTAGGAAGTCCCGGCGACACTGCTTTTCTTCGTCTGTTGCAGGTGCCTGGCTCTACAGGAATGAAAGTGACCAGGCCCTGGTGCAGTCGGTCTGCCTACAGATCAGAGGGCAGATTCTGCAGAAGCTCGGTACTGACCCTGTGCCGGCCTCAGCAGGCCACAGGATTTTACTGGGGAATTTTTTTATTTTCTCTGGCAAAACTGTTGATCCTCACTTCCTTTAGTGTCCTTATTAAAATGGATGAAATTTCAGATCCAAGGAGCTAAGCTGGGGGGGGTGGTACCTGCCTGTAATCCCAGCTCCTCGAGAGGCTGAGGCAGGATTGCTGAAGCCCAGGAATTTAAGGCCAACTGGGCAGCACTGGGACACACTGTTTGTTTTTTAAAAGCAAAAAATGATGGGCATATTATGACTATTAATAAAACAAAATATTTTTCTATGGGATTCTGTTAGAGAAATTTATAGTTGTCTATTGTGGCTGTTCAGCAGTGTGCTTCTGGGCCAGGGATTTAGCTCACTGGTTCCACCATCTGCCTTGCAAGCGCAGAGACCTGAGTTCAATACCCGGTACCAAAAAAAAAAAAAAAAAAAAAAAAAAAAACAAGCAGTGTGCTCCATTATTCCTAGCTTCTGGCACAGGTGAGCAGAATTTTGTATGACTCCCTGTTCTAACTCCACCATCACACCTCATGGGTTCATTTTGGGAGTGATATGAATTTGGTCAAGCAAAGTTCACGGACTCTAATTATGTGTTAAAGCACAAACTTAACGGTTTAAATTTTTGTTATGGTGCTGGTATTAAATTCAGGGCCTCGTGCATGATAGAGCTGCAGCCCCAGCCCTAGGGTTGGAGAATGCTAAAAAAAGATGGTAAGTATTGTCCTTGCATATTTTGGGGATAGCTATATTTATATGTTATAGACAAACATGTAATAATTCTTACTGTTCCCCGGTGAAATAAAAAACATTATGTGTGTTAAGCCAGCTGGAAAAGCAACACTGTGTCCCTCTGATGTAGCCCTGAGTTTTCTAGCAGGAAGCAGGGACTCCCCCCCCCAGGTTCGCTCGGGTGTGGTGCACAGAGTGTCCCTCTGTCCGTCCGTCTCCCTGCAGGCATGTGGTACGAAGCTGCAGAGCTGACAGCGGCCTCCATCGCGGGATACCTGACGCTCCCTCAACCAGATAAAAAGGTTGCTCGTCCAGTACTTCCTTTCCCCTTTCGATTATTTGTCTCTGTGAGGTTCTCCCCTGTGGCACATGCAGTGCACTGGTTGTCAGCTCCACCTGCCCTGTTGTATTCTGTGTGACCCTGAGGCCAGGAAAATGCAGTGACTTTCTTCCGGGTCTGCTCCAGTCCTTGCTGTTAGATTGCTGGCACAGAGTTAGATTTTCTGTAATCACTTCTATTTGTCTTTCTTTCTTCTTGTCCATTCTTCTACTCTATTGTAGATTTAGCCTTTTGATTCCCTAGCGAAGCTGAGATGGACAGGTGTTTATATTTATTACAATCCGTTAAGCAGGCAAAGACTTCAATTAATTGTTTATGCTGCACCTTTAAGAAACTGAGGGCTGAGGATTTAGCTCAGGGGTTCTGATGCCTGCCTTGCAAGCACAAGGACTCGAGTTCAATACCCGGTACCAAAATTTAAAAAAAGAAAAGAAATTGAGAGCCGGGTGTGGTGGTGCACACCTATAATCTCGGCACTCTGGAGGCTGAGGCAGGAGGATCATGGCAAGTTTGAGGCCAGCCTGGCCTACATAATGAATTCAAGGCCATCCTGAACCACATAACAAGACCATCTCAAAAAAGAAACGAAAGAAAAAAAAAGAGAAATTGAGAAGCATTCTTTACTTTTCTCCTTGGCATTTTTATTCTGTGCAATTGGTAGGAATAACCTCCTAATATCTGAAGCCTAGTTTATCTATTCTGTTCCCTGGAGCTGTGTCCGTTGCAATCCCTTTAAGACACAGAGCGCAGTGTGAGAGCTCATTCTTGGCCCAATGATTCAGGCCTTGCCCAGTGGACAAGTTCAGTCTGATATTCCATGACGCCCAACGAATAGCTGTTTCCAGTTGGTCCCGAATTGTTCAGGTGTGAGGGGCTTTCAGCCTCAGTGGCATCCAGTTATAGGTATCTCCAGCGTTACAGTAATAATGGTAATAATAGTAAATGCAAACGGTGCACAGCGAGAGGTGGCCATCGCCGGGGCAGGGGCAGCACTCAGCAGCCCATCCCGTCTGACCCATCCGTCTCCCTGCAGGGCCTGTCCACGTCGCTGGGAATACTGGCAGACATCTTTGTTTCCATGAGCAAGAACGACTATGAAAAATTTAAAAACGACCCACAGATCAACTTGGTAAATGTCGCTTGTCTAAGCCCGGATCGGAGCAGCACCGTTTAGACAGCTGCCCGCGCCACTCTGGGCATCAGGCAGTCCGCCCTCCCAGACTGGTGTGGGACGGAACCCGAGTCAGCTCACTACCCAGCACCCAGCCCAGAACCAGACTCAAGGTCACGAATTTCAGTTTCCACACTTGGGCCATCTTGATAATAAAGAGTAATGACTTTCTCTTTTCTTTTATAATAAAGAAAATGCAAATATAAAGAAATAGTAACCTTTTGTTTTGTTTTTTGAAACAGGGTCTCACGTCTCACTATGTAGTTGAGACTGACCTGGAACTCACTATGTAGCCCAGGCTGGTCTCGAACTCACACAATCCTCCTGCCTCAGCCTCCCGAGTGCTGGGATTACAGGCGTGCACCACCACGCCCGGCCAAGAGTTATGACTTTAAAATCCATCATGTTCTTTTCAAGTCAGCACATTAGTCATTCGTTCCAGGCTTTTATCCTTAACTATGTAGTTGAGACTGACCTGGAACTCACTATGTAGCCCAGGCTGGTCTCGAACTCACACAATCCTCCTGCCTCAGCCTCCCGAGTGCTGGGATTACAGGCGTGCACCACCACGCCCGGCCAAGAGTTATGACTTTAAAATCCATCATGTTCTTTTCAAGTCAGCACATTAGTCATTCGTTCCAGGCTTTTATCCTTAAATAGTAAGAATTATTAGTACTTATGTATACCTGACAACTCAGAAATGTATGTCCACAGAAACCCTAGTAGGTAGATGAAGTGTAATGTGTTATTCCCATTTTAGAGAAAAGTAAACTGAGGCCCAGAGCAACTACATATCGTTGCACAACCAGACGAGAGAACTGGAGACAGAGCCGGGTCTCCGAAGGGTCGGGAGCCCTAGTGCTGGCGCTGAGGTTGAGTTTCTCCAGCTGCACTGAAATGGAGATTTTTAGCATTATCTTCTGTATAAAATGTTCACTCAATACTCAGTGACCATGACTGCCGTAGCCTGCGGAGCACAGGGAGCACAGGCTGTTTGCTGCCTGTGATATGAATCTCAGTAAGATGTTTTTCAGTAAGATGCCCATGCTTACTAAAATTGTCCCTGGTGACTCATTAAAACCACAAACTACCCAGCACTCTGGAGGCTGAGGCAGGAGGCTCACACTGAGATCAAGGCCAGCCTGAACTACATAGCAAGACCCTGTCTCAAAACAAACAAAAATAAAATAGAATAATATTGCAAACTCTCTTCCCATTCTGGACCTCCCTTGTCTTTTCTTTCTTCTTTTTTTTTTCTTTGTAAAAATTTAGCAAAAGATGGCAAGATTTATGTACTCATAACTACAACTCATTGCCAAAAAAATTTTTTAAATATTTAAATAAATAGACACACTGTTTTCTTAAGTCAGAAAAGTTGTCAAGATGGTAATTGTTGCCAAACTGATCTATTCAATGCATTTCTTACCAAGATCCCTGCTGCCTTACTTCTTCTTCAGAAATTGTCAAGCGACCCTAAAATTCATCTGTAAGTGCTGAGGACCTGGAATACCCAGCAGGGTCCTGAAGAAGAACTAGAACTTATCCTTCTGGATCTCAAAGTCGCTACAAAGCCACAGGAATCAGACAGCACAGAGTTGACTAAGTTAACTCTAAGTTATGAGTTAGGCACAAAGGTCCACAGCAAAGAATTCGTTTTCATGCACTCTTTCCTTTTTCTTATTCCATGGAGCTTGTATTCAAGGTAACCACTCTGCCACTTAGCCGTACTCATAGCCGCTGTCAGTTAGGATTCAAAAGGTATAGAAGCAAATCAAGGCAGAGAAGGCTTTCAACAAGTGGCGCTGGGACGGTTGGCTCCACTCCTGCAAAAGAAGGCATTTGGACCCTTACCTCATGCCATACACAAAAATTAACTCAAAATTTCTCACAGACCTAAATGTAACAGCTAAAATTATAAAACTACTAGAAGAAAATCCAAGAGCAAATAATCATGATCTTGGGTTAGATGGCTTCTTTTGTTTTACTTTTTTCTTTTCTTTTCTCTTTTTTAAGACACGATCTCACCATGTAATTCAGGCTGGCCTTGAATTCACTATGTAGTCAAGGCTGGTCTCAAACTTGGGCAGTCCTCCTGCCTCAGCCTCCAAGGTGTTGGGATTACAGATGTGTGCCACCACACCTAGAGTCCACTGGGGTATTTTTCGTATCTTTTTTTCTTGGCTAAAATTTAATTTTTTCATTTGTTTCAAGAGAGTTTTCATTGCTTGTTGAATTATTTTTACTGCATGCTTTAAAATGCTTGAGCCCTTAAATATGTGTCACATAATTCCATCACCTAGGTCATCTAGGGTATTGGTGTTTGAATGTCTTATGTTATTGTTTGCGATTTCCGTAAATCTTGCTATAACAAGTGATTCTCACTTGTATCCTGGACATTTCGGATTTTGTGTTATCAGAGCCTGGATCTTATTTAAATCTGTTAGGAAGTGTTCTGTGACAGTGCATCACTGGGCGAAAGAGGACACCCTGCCACCGCGGGAAGTCCACGTTCCCCACTAGGCCTCAGTGACTTGCATTGCCCGGCAGGACATAAAGCACCTCATTGCTGCTCCTCCCTTAGTCCCTAGTGGCCTGTGACCAGGGGGCTTGGTGCCACCAGGCAGGGCTGAAGTCCCGGCTGCCTGCTTGGTCTTCCCTGATGCTGTGGCGGCAGTGCGGAGGGGACTGTGGCTGTGAGGGCCAGCTGAGCTGCCATGTGCAGATCCCCACTCCTGTGCTCAAGTGTGGGGATTTTTTCTGTGGTGTTTGCCACCATATTGTTCCTCATGACTTGAGGTTCTTAGTCTGCCTTCTTTCTCCATCTTCCAGCCTCTTATGTTTGCTTCAAGTATAACACCCAGGGTTGTAGCCATGTTTAGCAGGAGGAATCAGAAGTGCATCTACTCCATCTTGGTCACTGGGTCGGCACTGGTTTCTCATCCTCGGTGGGGGTTAGATTTCCCCTCCCTTGCCCTTTCTCTGCTTAATGTTTTTTTCTCAGAACACAGACAACCACCTCAAGTTCTGTGCACTTGGCTTATTGTTGTGCTGACCAGACACTCAGTTCACTGAAAAAGAAGTTTGTGTTGTTATCTGCTTCTTTGTAAGACTCTTTGGGGTTTATGTCATGCACTGTGTAGCTACTTTGTAGTAGTTATTGATAGTCTCTTATTTGGTTTTAAAATCTGGGTTTTTTCATAAAATAGAGGGCTTCCTGCCCGTGGCAATGCAGAAAGCCCCTAATCTGACCGGAAAGTGGTCAGGGTTCCTTGCACAGACCGAAGAGGCCCTGACTTCCTGTGCATACCCAGGTGGCACAGCTAGTGCCCAGCTGCCCAGGAGGACAGTCGGGGCCCTTCTCCGCCCGCTGTTCTGAGAGGTTTGTAGTTTTGAGAGCGCTGAGAGAAAAGAAAGGTCTCCAGCCTGCGTTTGTGTGGTGAGTCTGACCCTCCTGTGTCTCCTGTGCCCCCAGGCCTTGCTCCAGGACTTTGACCACCAGCTGCTGGCAGCAGCGGAGGCCTGCAAGCTGGCGGCAGCCCTCAGTGCCTACACACCCCTGTTCGTGCTCACGGCAGTGGTAAGGAGCCCTTGGCCTCGGGCTCAAAACCAGCAGAAAGAGTGGGTGGGTGTAGAGCCACCTCGTTATGTATAAGGGACCTGAGCGTGGGCAGGCGGTCGTGCATGGGGGTCCCGGAAGCGAGTCCCAGAACAGTGAGGGGTGACCGTCCTCCGGTGGAGTCAGCTCCACAGATGGGCTTGAGAGCCACCCCTCTTGTTCCCCCATCAGTAGTGAGTGCTGCATTTGTAAACAGCAGCCTTACTTCAGAGAGAATTGTGACCGTATCCCATGCACTTCGCTGAAACTAACCCAGCAGGGACCACAGATTTGCCTTTGACCCCATCAAAAGGCAGCAGGGCCACTGCAGGATGGGAGCTAATGCTCATTTCTCTTTATTGAGACAGGGTCTCGATATGTAGCCCAGGCTGGTCTGGAACTCACAGCAATCCTCCTGCCTCGGCCTCCCAAGTGCTGGGATTACAGGCATGCGCCACTACAACCAGCTAAAGCTCCTTTCTTACTCCTTTGTATTGACAATCACAATGCAGTGCTGGGTGCTCC